CATAGACTTGTGCCCCCACGAGTCCTCTATCGATTGGTGAAAACCGCAGGTCTCTAGCTCATTGCATTCTTGAGTTATTCAAAAAACAGTGGGACGCATTATATTTTGAAACGGACATTAGTAAAGAAGCTAGGTTTTTGAAGTCTAACTTAGTTTTGTAGTAAAATATATGACATTTCTCATAGGTGAACACCTCCGAAAGCTGAATACTTTCCCAAAGTCCCGGCGGTGTTCACTTAAGAGTGGTTCCATGGTAGATAGAATTTTCATTTTTTTGAAGAAATATGAGAAGAAAAAAACATTTTCAAATTAATTAATTGGTGAAATACCGTTTTTTACAGATCTACGGATTTTTTTGGATAGGCTTATTTTGATGTTATATTAACAGATGATTGGTAGAAGATGCAGGACAGTTTGCAACCGTTCATGATGCTTCAGTTAAGACTCGACTTCATCAGAATATAAACTTTGCAGGAAACTCAATTGCATTCTCATTTGAGCGGTGAAATCATACTCAGAATAGAATAATGAGTAGAATCTCAAAATAGAGATAGTCCTAACCAAAGCGACAATTTCAGAATAAGAATAAAAATCGTGGTGCTACGGCCCGAGAAAAGTGGGGCGTAAGTTTAATTCAATCATATGAAAACCGACTGCAAAGTGTCTACCAAGATACATCATAGAAATTCTGAACGAAAAATAGATTTGTCCGGTCACTTTACTAAATGGTCATCGCTGATAATATTATAGACAGATTTTCATTTGCGCGTGTAATGAACAATAATCCTCAGAGAAAAATTCAAAAAGCTATGAGAGATGGTTACTAGATAGAATTTAGCCGGAAATCAAGCCAGTTCTAGCTACTACCGTTACTTGTCATATTATCAAAGTTTTTCAAAAAACCTCAGAAAATTTTCGGAGATTCTACCTTCGTATCGTTCATCCACACTTGCAAATTCTATTTAGTCTGAAGTAATCATAAGAGATGGTTGTGAGTTTTTGAAATCTTTCTGAAGTCGTATGAACTCGCATAAAATCTGATGAATCCTGTTAAAATCTTTCTAGATCCTATGAAATCCCTAAGTTTTCTTCTAACTCACACTGACATCCATCCACATCTACACATCCAGCCATGATTATCATCATCGGTCTTTTCTACTACCACATACAGAAAAAAACACTAACAGCCACATTTTTTTAACATTAATATTTATTGTGTCATATATTATGTTGGTTCACAAGTAAAACGAGAGAGGCTAGAAGAAAAGAAAAGGGGGCACATTAGGGGCAGTACAGAGGAAAAAATCTATATAAATAGTTTTACATTAACACATGAAGAGAAAAGGAACATAGACGTTCAACATATTGAAGGAGGACAAGAAAGCAAAGGGATTGAGGCAGAACGTGATTTAAAGTTGAGAGAGAAAGAGAGATTCATCAATCTTTCACGTTTGGGGTAAGGAAAAACTTGAGTGCGAAGCGAAAAATATGGGGGTTGGACTTGGAGAAACAGTCATATTGCTTGATATGGGCGTTTTCAAACTCAATCCAATCGATAATACAGTGCTTCGCTTGCTCACACAATCTACGGAAAAAGATGCTGTTAGATTTAAAGCCCATAGTCTAACAGTCACATCAGATAATTAAATCATATGTTCACAGGATCATCAATATGCACAAACAAAAGAAAGGCCATTGAAATGGAATATATAATTAAAATCTATTCAATTGGTACCGCAGGTAAAATATTGGGCAGCTCATTGCGTTGTGGGTTCACTCCTTGTGGTGGATGGGTTATTGCTTGAGAAATCATACACATCTCACGACGCTTTGTACCAGAATTCGTTGTGTTTCTTATCGGTTCAACGCGAACATTCCGACGACCGAAACAGACCTTGAGTAATGTGTTGACAATATTACATAGCTCATTTCGAAAAGTACGTGACACTACTATATAGAAATAGAATGGCGTAACAGGAAATAGAAAGACACATAATTCAGCGAAAAAGAAGAAAAATTTTTCAATAGCTAAACGATCAGGTGACTTATTTGGGACATTGCTAGCTATGGCGCCATAAAGTATATAAACAAATTGAGGTGTTTGAACAACACAATAGACAATAATTTGTATAAATAGCATCGCTAATGCATTTTGATCACGTGTGCGCTGAACACGTGAATTAGACGTTAGTTGACTGGCTGGATTACTAGCATTGACTTGTTGCTCACGTATATCTCGTTTACTTGCAAGATTACGACGAATAAGCACAGCACTTGTAATCATTATTATTGAAGGAAGGAAACCGCCGGTAATGAAAGTATAAAGACTATGATAAAGTGCTGCTGTTCGATTATATATGATGGCACAAACACCGGCACCTTCACGTATGTCAAAAAATATTAGTGTGTGAATAGGTAAGATAAGCCAAACCACAATAATAATAAGAATCGCACGACGTGCAACATGCGTTTGTGCAAAATGTCGTATGCGAGCATTTCTTGAACTCATTGCAAATCGATCAACAGAAGCAATAGTTATCATCCAACGTCCCATCATAATAGGTGATTGCAGTACATAGGTACGCATCTTGCAAAATGTACGTATAGTTGTAGCTGGATCCGGATGATTGAGCGAATAGAGATAAGTACCATTGCTCAAACATATTGGTAGCAGCAATATCACTGATGCTGCCAAAAAGTCTAGAAGAAAACTCTTTAACATTGAATAGAACAAATTTTATTCAATGAAAACTACTAATAATTATTATTTATTTTGAATTAGCTCAGTTGTTCGATAGAAGAAGAAATTTGTGGATGCTTGTATGGTTAGGAAATTTACAAAGATGTATACAAATTGTACACAAGTTGGGGCCGAGCAATCTATTGTAAAATTAGGGCTCACATCCCAGAAAACAACACAGTGTCGTCAACTTTAATTTGATGAAGTAGCTTGCCTCATTGGTATAAATATCTAGATAATTAGATTCAGAGACTCTTAATCAGACCAGTCTTTTGTTTCGTTATATAGATATTGACTAGGTAGTAAGAAAATTAGTTCAAAAACCTAGAAGCTACTCTACGTGTTAGCAGTTATCTATAATTTTTAAATCAAAGAATAGAACTGCAGTGCTATAAACTACAATATTTTTCGTTCTAATATTGTTGGGCTACGCTAGCTGCCCATAGAAATAAATAGATTGATTTTGAAATCGGCCATTCATAACACTTTTCAGCTAAAGAAGTCAATTAGTCTACTACTATTGAAAAGAAACCCTGCCAGTGAACATGCACAAGATTAGAACAAAAGGACATTAGAATCTATTCAGTTCTCATTTTTCCTACTTAATCTATTTCAAATATACTCATTCCAGAGTATTCAAATAGCATAATATCTTATAATTCAACATCGAATTCTGGGGTCTTAGCATAGACAACATTCTTGTTTCTTGGATTCGTAATTATAATGTCTATATGAAACTTTGATCAAACATAATTGCGAACGGCAAAGTGTGCGTGTGAATGTTTAGTATTGGTATGGGTATACTAATTCTCTTTAATCACGCTCACACCCATACATCCACACCCTTGTCTCAATAAAGAAAAGCTTATTCTTTGCTCCTTTTCGAGAAGATTAAATTAAAGGATGGTCATGAAGAGTGTGATAAAATATATAGAATAAAATAGTCTTCCTGTCATTCGCAGCTAGAGCAAAATTATTTTTGACATTTTCAACATCAGAAAGATTGAGCTAGCAGCTTTTTTAGAATTTTCCATGTAATACAATATTACTTCGTTTTTTTGACCTTTTTCAAAATTTCTTCAGTCATCTCATCTATTAAATAATTCAAATCCAACGGATAGTTAATAAAAACAAAATTTATATGAACGACGGTGCTTAGAAATGGATTATCTTCTCAAGCTATTTCTATTGGCCTTGTAACCGTTCTCTTTGTGTGTGTAATCGCTACGCTTGACTACTGTTCATTATCTATCTTTCGTATATAAGCGTATGTTTTGTGTATGAATGGAGCGATTTGTTGAAAGAAGAAGCCAAATACTTGTCTTCAAAATTCGTTACAGACTTATAAATATTTTACTTCTCTTTCAAAAAATAGTAATAAATTCACTTATGCCGTCAAATCTTTGAAATCAATCACTTCTTTAGTCGAGTTAATATTCATTATCTTCTTAATAGTTGCTTTCCTAAGATAATATGTGGATGTCAATATCACGTAGCATGTAACTATACTCTGTACCTTGCTTCAAAATTTTTGTCTAACATTTCTTGTTGGTCGTATTCAGATGACATTCCTGGATCTTTATAAACACCAGTCAAAGGCAAAAAAAACTTCCATTATTAAAAAAAAATAGAAGTGTCAGATGTTGATGGTTTTTTTAGACAAGATTTAGACGTGATACATAATTAAAATTTAAGAAAAAGTAATCCAAGACTGATTGATAGTAAAAACACCTTGATCTTTGTGAATTATTAGTATTTATCCTCTAGTGTATGCCGAGATAACCAGGATTCATTCCTTTCAGAATTTACCTATACTAAAGAACCTATTTATTGAGAGTTCATTATTTGTAATTCATTAATTATAATGATACTTCAACATATCCTCAACCCTCCAATCAAATAATTTTCTCTAGCTATTGATTCTCTTAAAAGTAACTATATTGAAATGGAACTATTCAGTTATCAATATTTTTTAATGTTTACGATCCATCCTATGACTGAAATACGTACGTTTCTACTTTCCGTCTGCTTCATTGTGTTCAGTCTTACTGTTTATGTTATCAGAAAAATAATTATTATCTTCTAATTGTTAATGAGATGAAATTTGAATAGAGAACAATGATTTCTTACATTATTTATGAATTGCAGTTATAATTGTAAAAATCTATAGAAAATATAATGATCCAAAAAAAGTTAAATGTTTGAATGTTAAAATCACTTTACGAACAACAACTACTTCCAATCAATATAGGCAAAATTCATAGTTATCGTTTACCTAAATATTTTCACCAGCATATATCAAGTTCCAAGATTCACTATTGAATTAAAAGTTAGAAAGGAAGGGGGCGTTAAGTGATGAAATCGGCCCCCTCTCGAAATTGAGTTTCACATTTTCCAAATAGTCAATTGAGATGTCAAAAGTCGATTATCGTTCGAATCAATCAGTTAGCCCTAGTTATGGCTGCGCCCGAGTGACTTAAAATTTTGATCTTGTCTGTTTCCTATAGGGTTGCGGTATGCAGTG